TTTCCGCACACATCTCTCTGATAAAAGCTTCCACAAACCCATCACATTCAAGGATGAAGCTGACTGCATTTCCATACAAGCCACTTAAAAATAAGTAAATTCCAAAACCTCCCGAAAAGTCTTTTCCTATCTCATGGTGGTAAGCGGACGTTTACCATTAGGGGGCAGCGTAAGATCATTTCTTCCTTCCTCCCAGATGAGCTGTTTTGGAAGCTGGCGTGGGAAGAGGGAAGCATCTGTATTGAGTGGGTGGATACAGAAGTATGTGGAATGTACTTAGCATGTCAGCATTTGCTTTCATGTACGAGATGAATCTACCATAATGACCTCTGCTACATGCAAAACAACAAAAATACTATTCAAAAATGTTATAACCACCACTAGGTCCAACTGCTGTTACTGCTTTGAAAAGAATGGATTTTCTTAAGTCTGACAGAGTAGGCAGAGGAAGCAGGTAACCTTTGATTAAATAAGGACTTGTCATGCAGGAGGGGAAATGTATGTGGTACACCTGAACAAGGAATTACGTAGATATAAATTTTCCACTAACAGAATCCAACCAGTGCCCTAATGGAACAGGCATCACATTCTCTCTCAGAACTGTTCAAAATTCTGAACGATCCTATGTTGGTAGGACGTAACCTACCAACCTGCTTTTGTAACAGCTCTAAACTGCTAAAACCAACCCAAGCACTGCAGCATCACTGTGAATGTTAGCATTTTCATACCAAGTTTCCACATTTCTTAGGCTGAGGCAACTACTCTAAATAGTCTTTTTCTTCCTGCAAGCTACTTAAACCTTCTGTAAGGGTTACTGGCTATATCGGCATAACACCACAGCCAGGAACATTCCTTGGTGAGGAAGGTGGCACAGACCTGCTTTGCACTTAAAGCCAGCATAAAGATAGTGATAGAAAATTAAAGCTTTGCATCAGTCTTTACTCCATTCTGGAAATTAAAAAAACTAGGTTAAGTATTTAAAATAGCTATTTTCTGGTGTGAATAGAATACTTTGTAGCATACACACAACCTGCACTAAGTGCTAGCGATGTAAAAAGAAGTTGACCTGACCGTTCTGTGTTTTCAAAGATGACCAAACAATTCTCAGCAAGGCAGGAGAACAAATGTGTGCAAAAACTCTTTTAGGAATACATCTGTGACTCTAAGGGTCACAACTGAAACATAATAACCAGCAAGTTCAAGTTTCATTACAACAGACATTATTATTTAGCAACTGAGATTCTTGGTTGTATGGCACAGGAAGGGCAATTAATTCTTGGAAAACATGAAGAACTTATCAACCATAGATTACATATACTTACTACCTGTTTGCCTCGCAGGCTGAAAGATGATGGACTGCACATCATCTACACATATAACATTTAAAATATCTTGGCTATTTAAAAACTATCAGGATGACTCTAAATCCATAGTTCTTACTTTGCAACCTTGCAACTCGAGTATGAAAAGAGAAATCCAGTGCATTATTTTGAGTATGTATATATATATTGCCCCTAGAATACATCTACTGGCAGTATTCTAATTATTAACAGAATGTGTCATAGCCAATACTATCTATTTCCCTTAATGCACAGTTCAAACCTCCTGTTCACTTAATTCCCAGTCTGCTGGGTCAGATTTTTTTTTAATCCCTATGCTTGCCTAATTGCTTAATGAAATACTGTACTAAAGCACTTCTGCTCATTACTTGCAGGATTTTTTCTAGCATTTCAATGTTTCATTTGCAAGACCCTGAAAGTACCCACCTGAATGATTCAAAAGATGAGATTAATTTTTAAGCACATTTCAGTTGGACAAAGTACCATAAACAGTGTTTTAAAACACCAAGAAAGGAATTTTTAGAACCAAGCATAACCCATATTAAAAGACAAACAAACAAACACACCACAACAGATAGGTGATCTACCTATCTCTTATGCTGCAGATTGTCTGTCCTATGTCCTTTGCAGATGATTGACAACCACCTTCTAAAGGGAGGACTTCTTTCTTTCAGTCTGTAGTCTACCCACTGCCTGCCTTCTTTTTGTCATGTTCCTATCTAGCTTATTCCTATCCTATTTTTTCACATCTATTTTTTACTGTGATTCCCCCTTGTCCTCTCTTTAAATGTTTCTTTTGTTTACCACTATTTGCATATTGAACAGAAGGCACCCCTTTCCCTTCCTTATTAGTCATCAGGCTGTAAGGGCTGCAAATTCCACCAAGTCAGACCAATGCTGAATGCTTCAGCTTCAAAATTAAAATAAATCCCAATCTGCATACATTTAAAAACAGTTTAAAGAAGTCAAAGGTGTTACTAAGGAGAGATCTATTATGCTGCAGAGTCCCATCTCCTTGTATACACAACTGCTCTTCATCACACTAGCCTTTCTTTTAAAGCGTTCCCAAATTCTATTCACTTTTATCAGTTCTAGTGACAAACTATTCCAATGTCTAATAATGTTAATGCTAACATCTTGCTTATCTACTCCTCTTCTTAATCTATAATTGCCTTTTTCTCACTACCTTGTACAACTTCATTACTCACCCATCCCATATGTCAAGTACTTTCAAATGCACGAGTTTGCTTTTATAAAATAATCTCCAATACCAAAGAGTTTAAATAAACAGCACATTGCTCCAATCTTTTAAGCAAATTCTGAAAGCTTCACCACTGGTTTTTAATTAAACACAGAATGTTCCATTTACAGTCACAACTATTAACAGTGCGCTGTCACCCACAGCACGAGGTCAGACCAGGCTTTTCTTTCCCTGTATCCTTCCCATCTCCACAACTTACCCCTCAATCCCTCTATACAATTACTTGTTATATTGACTAGGATTCCTTTTCCCAAACCAGTCATTTTCAACCCCAGTGCCTGCCATAACCTTCATGCCTCACCTCCAATAAACTTGGAGATCAATGAACAATAAATCAGGCCCAAACAGTTCCCCTATTTCCCCCACCCCTCATTCAGAAAAAAAAAAAAAAAGTTCTTTCCTATCTATATTTATGTATTTCTGACTAGATTAAATGAATACCAAACTAATGCGGTTCTTGTTTCTGGAAAAAAGAAAAAAAAATCTTAATCTATCACATTGACACTGTCACAACAGTAACCAAGAACTACCAATTTTGGTTATGAGTTCAAGTATTACATTAGAAGTTGTGTTAAAATCAGAACAAATTAAAATTAACTATTTCATAACCATCGTATTTAAAGAATGAAGTACTGTGAGAAACCTATGGATAGAGGACTATGCAACAGAACTAGTTACCTTGACTTAGATCACAGATAAAATACTGGAAGAGCTCTTGCAGGGTTCAGAAAACACAGGATTAAAACAGAGAATATTAGTTTTAAACATCAGCCAGTCACAACTGGTTCCTACAGTGTTTGAGAGGATACTATATGGGCTTTGACATTAAGCACTTCATTAAAAAAAGTAACCAAATTAATATAGCGTAGTTTTAAGAGTTGCTGCCATAGCATTAAAAATTGATTTTCATGAAATGCCTATAGAATACATCACATTGATTAAAGAACTAAGTACAAAAATCCATGGAGAAGCAAATCTATAGGGAAAGCTTTACTAAAGCCCACATAACTTTTTCATCATCACCAATAATAGCTTTATCACCAATAATTTTTTATAAACAGTAAAAACATCAAGAAGAAAACTCTCTTCTGTACTGAGACAAGGAAGCAATAGGGGAACACTGTCAAATGCAAAGAACTTAACAGCTAGGGTAAAGGAATCCACGCCATCCCTACAGAATAATGAGCAAGCATGCCACCAGAGAAAGCAGGGACTTAAGAGAACCAGCTAACAAGACACTCACTACTAGCTGGACAGTGCAGCACTGTGGTAAAAAGGATTATATTTATTTCTTTTTTATTTACTAACAGGGAGGGAGAGTGAAGGAGAGAGAGAAGTCTTCTAATAAGATGCTCTAGTACTGTCCACAGTCCTGGAATCCACGTTCTAACAGGGCTGGAAAACTGAAGAAGATGAAAGTACCACCTGTCAGAGGTTATATCAGAAGCTGGAGAAGAATACTTGCAAAGAGAAAAAAATCTTCAGTTTTGTACAAAAAACTGGGTTAGTACTTTGAAAAGAAAGGAAAATACATATTCAAACTAGGAAAGAAATGCACAGCCAGACACTGGAAGGTGATGGCAAATCCAAAATAAATCCCATTCAGATTTTGGGAAAGTGCAGTTTCCCCATTAGAACAAGGTAAAAATGGATACTACAGATTTTCTTCAACGCACTACCCCTCACAAACAGCGTATTCAGCAGATGAGACCCCTAGTAATAGTTTCATTTTAAATGGCCTTTGGTTTAGGTAGAGCTGGTATTCTGAACAAGAGAAACATTATTCCTGAGGCTATTTCTGGGAGCTGGCCAGGTTTGGAGCCCTAAGAGTGTCCCATTTAAAGTCCTCTGATTCCATTTATCACTCACTGTAAAACTTCTATTTCAGAAAACATTGTCATAAATTTCACCATACTTACAAATGAAAGTAGTCAGTGGGCTGGAAAATAATATTAGAAATTTAATGAAATAAACTAGTTGATGTTGTAAATCACATTATCAGAGCAATTTTAGCAACACATGAGAATCTAAACAACCTTAAAATCCCCACAAAACTCAAATGCAACAGTATGTATTCCATAACTACAATGTATAAATCCAAAGCCTGAGGTTATTTACAAATTCACAAAATCTAAGCATCACTGGGGTTCAACATATCAGGCTTTTAGATTATCTACAGTTCTAACTAATAATCTAAAAATGAGGATGATGAAAAAGGATAGAACATGCATTAACAACTCTTTTTGAGTACCAAACAGCATAGAACTAATATATATATTTTTAAATCTTCCCCTGCCCTGTAAAAAATTAAATTTTTCTAGAATTCACAAAGGCACACATAGAAAAAAAAAACAAAAAAAAAACACTAAAAAAGTAGATTAAAGGCATTTGGTACTCACTTGTCTATCTCAATACCAAGTGGATTAGCTGGACGTAGGGACAGGGGGGGAATCCCTTTATTTCTATCAGTGCGCATGTCATAATAGTTCATTTCATCCACCCAGACAGCAGACTGATCCAAGATACCTAGAGAAAACAAAGCGCAGATCCTTAAAACAACAAGGGCGGTCCAGCACCATCAACTTCTAACATACTGAATTAATTTGAAAAATCCTGATAAATATAAAATGCATGCCTAGGTAATATATTGGAAGATACATGGCAAAATAACCTGGATGCAATTATGCTATATTATTTTATTATAGCTGCTGAAAAGATATTCGTGGCTGGGCATCAATCATTACCCTCTTACAGAGTACACAGTTTCATGCACATTAAGAGCATTTTCCTGATCACAGAGTATTAATATCTTTCATTCCTCCAAGTATTCTGGTATGTGTCCAAGCCTTGTCATATACTACTTTCAAAATGAGAAACTACCTGGAGGTCATCGTTTGCATATTTTAGGGAAGACCCCTTTTCTGTGCAGTCACTAGCCGAAAAGCAAGTGGATTTTGGCCATATACCAAAATAGATGACTCCAAGGACACAGGACTGACTTTGTTTCCAAAGCCTTAGCTTAGACAATGCGCAAAGCTGAGGCACCATATGTCTTGGCCCTTGGCCAAAAATGCAGCCAGCTCTACTACTGGTTATGTCCTTTTTTTAACATACCCAACAACACAAGAAGCAACACCATCTTCAGGCCCATTTTCTAAAATATCATTCTTCTTTCCCATCACCAAAAGCTTCAATGTGTAACACTTGCACTTAGTTCACCTTTCTATTATCAAGAACCTAGTACAGCTTGGGGAGAAATTCTGTGTTATTTAACTGCCATTGAACCACAGAGAACAAAAGCCTAAAACAGCTCATGTGGGAACCCCTGTGTTAGAAAAGATAATGATCCAACCTCAACGATGAGGTGTTCCGAAAAAAGCATTTTCAATCCTGAGGGTATTTAGACTGGATTCTAGATCAGGCAGAGGTCCTAGACTGCTTGGCAACATTATTTCAATGGTTAAGCATCTCATGAGAAATACTTAAAACTTTCCATCTTGCAGGATGGTTTGAATTACAAATAAGAAACGTCACCGAGGACTCAAAGGATAAACAATCAGCTTAGAATTTAGGTATAAGGATTTATATTTTTTAGGTTTATATTTTGCATTTATCTAGTACACTTAAGAGTAGTTACTGGATCTGTTAGGATTTTTTATTTTTTTAAATTTTGAAAGTTTAATGATACTCCTTACAGAAAAATAAAGGGTGACTTTTCATTAGTCATTGAGGGGTCTATCAGGATATTGAGATAGGAGGATTAATTTAACATATGAGTTTATCAATGTATGTAGCTGCATCTTTTATTTATATACTCTGCTTTTTCAGAAAACGTGGAGATCGCCCTGAGGTGGATGGATCCCTCTTAAACATACATTTTATCTAAAAGGCACTCAGTTATATATGTGTGTAGCAAAGAAAACAGAATTTGAACAAGAAAAATACCTATTTTTTCAGGTTTAAGCAGTTTGAAGGAAACCGTTGAAGTTCCTTTGCCACCAGACTTTGTAGTAACAATAATGTCTCCTTTGTCATTTTTAGCCTGTCCAACTCGACACACAATTTTACTGGCAGACATCCACTCAGCAGTTAGCAGACAGTTGTGCCCACAGATTGTTAACCCTGAGAAAAAGAAAACAAGCAAACAAAACTCCTATTTGAATAGAAGTATCTTTTGAAATTCTGTAATGCAAATACATTTATGATGCTTCATATATTTTACACACATATATGACCCTTATCCTGTCCCTTACAGCCAGCTACAGCGAAAAGAATCACAAATTCTTTTTTCAGATGTTCCCTAGGTGACTTCAGGTCTTTTGCCCTAGTAACACTTCATAAACCACATACAGTGCTGCTTGAAGTCATTTTAATCTCTTCTACCAGTTACAGGCTACTGCAACTTTTACTTCATCATGTACAATGCATCTTCTGTCTGCAAGATGCCAGAGAACTGCTGTTCGGTACTGTACTTATGGGAAACTTCCATCAAAACTGCATGAAACATTTTCACAAGTTCACTCTATATGACTTTGCAAAATATTTAGAATGCATGATGTTTCTTACACCTTATTCGTTTAGCAGTACTTTGTGGATGCAAAAGGATTTTCTGGTAAAAAGAAAAAAGTATTAATTGACAAATATTCTGCCCCCATCTCTTCTGTACAAAAATCCACGATGCAAGACCAATACTGCTGAATAAACTGCCCTTCCTGTATGAAAAAGTAGTCATGTAATGCTTATCTATTTCCTCTTCTAAACTTTCTCTTGACAAAAGTTCACATGACAAATTAGGAAATAAAAACACAACATATTTTAGCCATGAAGCTAGTCAATTGTTTTCTCAGATCTAGAACAGTCAAGAGTTTCGTTGTCCTGAAGAACTGGCTAGAATCCAATTTCTATAATATCTATTTAGAGAATAACTTTGTTAGCTTCTTCTTAAATAACATACTTACCTAAAAACATTTTGCCTTATGTGCAAAAGGACAGGGCCGTAGCGGTTCGTTGGCTGTACTGGAGTATAAATTAGTCAGGCATAGCAGTTCCTTCCCTGTTGGCTTGGCTTTTGTTTTTAATTTCTAGAAAGCTCTGACCAATTTAGAAAAACTCTTACGGGCAGAAAAGGATCAGCATATGTGGCTCAGTACCAAAGCTTCACACTTCTCACAATTTAAGTCTCTGACATTACCCAGCAGACAAATTTGGCAGTTTTCATGGTCATCAGACATAAAAATGCCCTCTCCCTGCCAAAAACTATTTTGAAAATGAAATCCAAAAAATAAAAACCAGAAAAACACTGAATCTTATTAAAACCGAAAGTAATTTTACTTGAGCAAGGACAGTAGATTTGTTATGGTTTGGGCTTTGTTTTTTTAAAGATGACTGAAAGAAGGGGGGGGTGTGAAATAGGATACACGCCAAAAAAGCCTTAAAATAAAAAAAATTTGGTTGCTATTTATTTGCAACATTTTAAACAGGCTAGTTTTTATTTTTCAGAAGGGAAGAATAACTCACATTTATGATGCACGGGTTTTAATCTTAGGTTATATTATTACATGTCCTCTGGTTTTATGCTAGCAAGTTCTCCAACTTAACAAAAAATAAAGATTGAAGTAGGAAGTAAGACTAGTTGAAAGAGTTTGAACCATTTATAAAGAGGTTTTCACCCTAGAACTTCTAAGGAATTCATGCTTAAATTAAGTAACACTGTAAAAATCAAGATCTGAACTATAGCAATTTAGAAGAGTAAAAATGTTTTAACTCTTTTGAAGATCCTTGCATCAACATTTTTCCTGGTCATCAGAGGTTCCTAAAGCTCTCAAAAGAACAAGATCTGACAAGATCCAAAACAGAAGGAAACAACCTAAATCAATGAAGTCATGCTGGGGGAGACCTTTTGATAGTATAGATACATCTTTTTCTCTAAAAAGAGAAAACTTCCCTTTAAATAATATCTCATTTTAATCTGTTGCACGGTACAAAGATCTCTGAGAATATTATAGTCAGGTTCTAGCTTTTATGTTACCTTTCAACACATGGGCACAAGTCATTCTCTTATTGAGACTTTCCAATTTTGGTTAAGCTTATATATTGATAATACTACAATGCCTACAAAACTGCTTACAGCTGGAAATGTCTTAAAAGAAAACTAAACTTTGAGAGAACAAACGTTACAAGTACCTCCTGGATTTGACTTTTTGTACCATAAGCTATAGAGTTACAAATAAAAAGTTTATTTGGTTTCAAAGCTACAAAGAGACTACTAGAAGGCTCTCTCAAATGAAACAAAAAGGCATATTTTTCTATTATGTGATATTCGGTTTCTATATATAAAAGTTTCTTGCTTTTCATTTTACTCTAATGCATCTCAATCAGGAGACTCTAAACTTTATAAAACTCTCACTTGAGCTTGTTTCAACCTCATGCCTACAAAGGCTCACTTTTGCAACTCTTTCCATTCAAGTCAGAGGGAATATTTACATGCCTGATTTAACCATTAACAAAAGTCCTTACATGCCTGGGGCCTTAGTCACTTACTGGAGAAAGCTGAGAATTGAGCTAAGTAAAAAAGCTACCTCAAAGCACGAGATTATTTGAAGCTATGTGTTACAAGTATTACTCCAAAAAAAAAAAAAAAAGAAAAAATATTAGCAGTCAGCTATAATACTAAGGCATGGCTTAGGAGGTATCTTCCTTCCAAGCAAGAACCTAGCATTGATCACTTCCAAGAGGCTCATGCTAACAAACTGATTAGGTTGTCTAAGTCCGTCAATCACACAAATTCACAGAAATATACTCACCTCTAATAGTGCTATTTGACTATTTCTCAATAAACATTCATTAGTGTACCACAGCTTTGTTTAGCAGCTCAGAAAAATACTGCTTCCCCTTTTGAAAGGCAGCAAACTGAAGGGGAAAATTGTAGGGGAAAATTGTAGTAGTTTATGCTTGGCTGTGCTGTTCATTCTAGTGGCCATTAAGAGAATTCAGGAATCTTGGTTTACAGCCATTAAGTGAAAAATTGTTTCTAGCAATGGCAAACAAAATTCCAATGGACTTCAAGGGAGTCATGACTGAACAACAAACCCTGAACACTGCATGTAACCAGGATGATATTCACCCAAAACTAACAGTAAAACCAAAAGAGATTCTCTGAAGAGCAACAAGAAGGGTCAAAGATATGTGTCAAAGATATGTGCAGAAAATTTAAGTATGCTAGGACTTTTCAGCCTGGAAAAGAGGCAACAGAGCAGTAGTGATTCAAGACCTGTATGGTCAGAAGAATCGGAGAAAACTGCTTCTTCCATCTTTAAACAAAGGAGATGTGATTACTGAAATGAAAATACAATGTTAAAATCAAAACAGCAAAAGGTAATGGTTCTTCATTGTGTAGCTAAATTATGGAACCTGACCTGTCATAACTTTTGCAGATACACAAATTAACTTTTTCATTAATTCAAGGAATAGCAATGCTCAGTGACTTTCTTAATATATTGAAAACAATTTATGATGGAAAATTTCTATGCTTAAATTCTCAATGCCTGGTAAAGTAAAAAAGGAGCACCTTGTTACATCTGCCCTCTCCTAGTACACTGTCATAGGCATTCATTCTTAGTTTTCAGCGCAGGATGCTGAGTCAGGCTAAGGGCTCATTTAGTAAGGTATGGTCATTCTGATTAGTTACGCATCAGGCAGCCACCCTTAAATTTACACATTCAAGTGCATATTTGTCAAAAGGGAATTCTTTGTACCACTCAACACAGATTTTACATTGCAAAATAATTATCTCTAACCACATCCGAAATGCAACACACTACAGTCTCAAAAGAAGCGGGGCTTTTTTCCCAAACTTACCTATGAGGTCTGTAGGCCCAGTCCCCAAATTTTCTCCTCTAATAGTCACTTTTGTCCAGGAGATGCCTTCATTGGGAGAGATACCAGTTACAAGTGGGGGCTGCCGTGCTCGAGACATGATGTCGATTCACTTACTGAAAACTCAGTTGCTTTTATCTGTTCAGCAAGAAACAATCATTTAAAAAACAATAATTATATTATGTGAAAACTATTTAAGACCTTTGAAGCTGTTCTTCAAAACTGGTAAAGAAACTTTAACATAAATATGGAATACCACTCAACCTTTTTTGCCACAGTCATAAACCAATATAGAATTCCACACTTCCATCTTTTAAATTACAGTTCTAGTTCTGAACTGTAAAGAAAATGTATATTCAGAAAACTATTAAATCCTCAAAATGCTTACTGAAACTACACACATACACTCCAAATCACTTATAACAGAATTCAAATGAGCCTATTCAATCCTGCATTAGAAAGTTATTACTGTGTTCCTTAATAAATCTAGAATTGCTAAGCTAAGCAGTAGACCATGATTACATATTCGGATAACTTCCCCGCCAAAATCAGACTTACTGCCACAGACAGTCCCATGGGAAGAAGCCCCCAGCACTTATTTGTATAAAGAATCAACATTTACATAAACTGAGAAAATTAAAACATTACTTACAGACAGTATACTAGCAGAGAACAACAAAACAAATAATATACCCACAGATCAACAAGAATGTACATAAAATTATTGAAGAACCATTTTGAGAAGAGCATTCCTTTGCACCCAAAATCAGCTCTGTAAAGAAACACCAATATGCTAGCGATTTATGCAGCCTACTTTTAGTTTACTGTGCAACTGATCACAGATTCCTATGTCGTATTAGCAGTTTCCTTTGTGCAGCTTTGCAGCTATAAGAAGCAGATGAATATCATCTGAAGCACATTAGTTCCCACCAGCTTCTACACATTTATAACACTTAATAAACATAGAGCCTGCCCATAGGTACACAGATCCTACAGAAGTGATAAGGCAAGCAAAAAAAGATTTTTAAGGACTTCCATGGTAATTTTGCATCACCTATTCCATCTCGTGACTCCTGAATTCTTCCACTAAGACACAACATCCTTAAAATTCCCAGTAAAAAAGACTTGTCACTTGGTTTTCTGGAACTTTACAAAGTTTTCTGTTATCAGCTTCTAATAGGAATTCATCTGCATTGGAAAGGTAAGAACCAAAAATAACCTATAGGAAGAAATGTTTATTTCTGAGAAAATCTAGGAGTGATGAAATAGGTCAGTATTCAAAAACCTTCGGTATGTACATAGAATGCTTTAGTGTACACAATTTTAAAAGTTCAGGTTCGTAAAAAATATGTAGAATATAAGCCAAGCTTCACAAGGCTTCTCTTACTTATTTTTATTTTGGATCAAGGCATGTCTTCTATTTTTACTTGCAAATAGTCAACTCCATGAAACCCAGAACCTCTGTAAATCATCCCTAACACCAAACTGCAATAAAGTTGCAGTTTCCAAGCATCTACAGTTAGGAAGTACCAGAATTAAGTAAGCTATCTTTGTTTCAGCTGCTTCTGCATATATAAAATACATTTATAGCATCAGCAATATGCCATGCTTCTACACAACCTCCCCAAATTTTTCAGCATTACTAGAAAGATCTGTGATAAGGATAAAATAAGCTCGCACTGGCCAGTTTTATTTCACGTTCTGAAGTTGGAACACGCACTGAAAATGATGGATACCAAGAAAGGCAAGCATAAGAAGGAAGATCTCATGGTGAAAGTAATCAAATACTGCCTCCAGAACAGGATCCTCTATCTATACCACAGATGCATAGCAGGTCTCCTATAAAACTTTACAGTACGTTTTTTCCTTCTCAGTTTCTGGGTGTCCAACTTCAGAGCTGACAGCCACACCTCTAGTCAGTGTGAAATGTACCCTGGACAGGGAATACTGCAAAATCCTCCAAAATACTCAGGTCCTATATAACCACCTCAAATCTACATATACATTTGATCTTAAATGTCTGCTTCTCAGTTTCACATATTTAAAATAGCAAATGCTACCACACACTTCAAAAGCTATTTTGAAGACAAATTCATTAATATGGAAGAGGCATTTAGATGCTCTGAACACCACAGAACTATTAATATCTTCAGAGAACTTTTGAGACTACCTTTGAAGAGTGTGCAACTAATAAGAGATGCAGATTCCCGTTGAACAAGTAAGAACATAACGGGAGCCATGTCCTGGGAAGTCTGGTAAGAGCCCATGATAATACACACAATGTGTCTGGAACTGAAGTGGTTTGTTTTGGTTTTCTGGTTTTAACTGGTAAACCTCAATTAATTCTTGACTGGTTAATTTCACCACATTAAAAATTACATTATATTTTTAATAAAAAATTAATTTTCCAGGTTTCTGCAAGCAAGAAACTGTTGAAAAAGGAATTAAGGTATATAGCATTATACAGATGCTCTTGTAAGTCTGTATGTAAAATACTGTAACTTTTTTTTACATGAACCCAACATGAGGCTAGCAAAGCAAGGAGCCAACAGATGCAGTCCATAATCTCCAGCACTAGAACAGACTGAAGGAGAGGACTCTATCAGCTGATAGCCACTTCCAGCTACAAAAGTGAAGTCTGTGCTTTGACAGGCAAAGTTCTCCCTCCTGCTCCTTCATGTCCTACTCATATCTTTTTCCTAGCACTGTTTTCCTCACACACACGCACTCAGAGACAGGCAGCCTCTGCCTCACTTCAAAACTGAGGCCACGTCCTAGTCCTCCAGCCAAACTATTTCCTGCCCCTATCCTGCTGATTTTCCCTCTGACCTCTTATCCAGAAGTTCAAGCAGGCAGGGGAGGGCTGTTAATATCCCAATTCTCTTTTCAAATCCAGACACTTCGATAATTCCTCTTCCTTACCTTCTATTCCTGACCCCGAGCCTACTTGTCCAGATAGCCCATCCACACTATTATTAATCCACTTCCTCACCACAGGTGAAAATGATAGTCCTAATCTTCTCTCAAGATCCCTAGTCCTGGAGTCACAAGTTTTATCCAAGTACATTCAAAGCTACATTGCCACAGCATCACCTGACAACAATGAGCAGCACAATAGAAATAAGCTCCCCATTCCTCATTGCTAAACCTAATACTACCTTGACCAACCAGAATCGGAAATTACAGGGAAAGTTTTCTTTATTCCCATAAAATTACAAGAGGCATATGCACAGAAGCTTAGACTTTTCAGAATTTGAAGTTTCCTCTGGAGTCCCGTGCAAACAGGATGTTAGAGAAGAATCGGGTGCCTAAGTTTAAGTAGAGCAAGGAGGACAAGCTGCATCTATTCCTCATGATCTTATCTACGTAGTCTTTGCAGCTTTTCTCACAGACTCTCAGCAGAGCTCAAAGACAGACAACAGCTGTAAATAAATTGTTGGGTTACGTACTCACATAGACACCTAATCACTTTCTGCAGGAACCAGCATGTATCTAGATACCAGTAAGACTACATAAAATACCTCTTTTGGCCAATTTTTTCAGAAGATTCTATGAAAAGTTAAGCAGTAACACATGGAAAAAAGCCATCTTCAGGAACTCGGTGATAATATAAAGAGAAAGAAATCTTGAGGAAAACAAGTAAAATAGAAGCTACTTTGGTATTATTTGGTTGACTGTCATTCCCTCCCACCCCCCACAAATGTTACGGCTCCCTTGGATTGTTTCTTTCAAAATACTTAGGCACACAGGTAATTGCCTTGAATCAATACCAAAACTCAAAAGTAATATTACAACATATTTTTCTGGATTTCAGAAATTGGCACTAGATCCCCCTTCATGATGAGCTAAATAAATGTAATAAAAACGCTGAGCCTCCTGAGGTCTAACATTTCTTCTAAAGTATTTCCATACTTACTGCAGAATTGCTTTAAAATACCTCACCGGAATGAGAATACCACAGTAAATCTCAACACATTACAAAAGCACTACAGAACTATTATTATTTTTAAATAGCAATTGGTTTCATGTATTTCAAAGAGTAAGTGAAGAAACTGTATGGAATCTGCCCTTATTACAACTATCAAACAATTGCTTGGGAGCCTTCAATTTATTTATAGTATTTCTTCTCCTCCTCCTTATCACACGCATGTCAATAATTAAAATGACCAAACTGCTTATTGGGAAGCCTAGCCAGTATACTACTGTGGCACAAAAGCAAATTAATATATATATTTAATACAAAGCTAAAAAACCTGTTTATTACATTAAAAGGTACAATAATCTAATAGGAGCATTTGCTGCAATTCTATAAATCGCCCTAAAGAGAAATAGTACATATTTGTAAAGAGTACAATGTATAAAATAAGAATAATATTAAATTTAAAAATCAAGTTATTTCTTCTGTGGAGCCAGGCTCACTGAAGTAGTGTTAACAAGACTATTTTTTTACTATGGACAATCTTCAAAACTAAGAGTCCCTCTCCTTCTTTACACCTCCCCACCCGTTTTTTAAAAACTTCACTTCCTCACAGTATCTCCCCAACAGTTTAACAGGGATGACATCTGTTTGACTGCTCCCATGATCTTGCCCATATTATTCTATTATTCTGTCATAATTCTTGTTACGAAAGTGCAAGGAATTAGAAAGCCTCTGCAAAGACCACCTACTACAAAGCCATCTTGAAAAATGCCCTTCATAAACATCATCTTTGTCTTTACATGAGCTTCTCAAATAAACCGTCCTCTCACAGAGGTTTGGTTAAAAAAAAAAAGAAAAATCTGAGCATTACAAGCTTGCTATAAGAGGGGACATCTTCACTCTTTATCTTAAAAAAAAAGCCACTTTAAAAACAAATAATGAAGAAATTAATCACGGCCCAACATAAGGGAAAATAGAAGGCTAGTTATTTTTTTGACTTCTACAGATCTTCAGTTAGTTTAAAGATAGAGTTCTTAAATAGGTTTCCCCATTCAACAGCAAGCAGAGAAAAATAAAGTAAAATGCCAATAGCTACCATACCTGTTCTGTAAAGCAAAATCCTGTTTACCACTCTGGAAGTACCTCCAGAATATTAAATACGTGAGCAATAGAAGTTCAGGATTTAAGGATATTAAGTTGGCTGGTAAGTTC